AAATATATTTTTATTTATTTCCAGAGAGAGGAAGGGAGAGGGAGAGAGAGAGATAGAACATCATTGATGAGAGAGATCATCGATCGGCTGCCTCCTGAATACCCCCTACTGATGTCTTCTGTAAACAGCAATTTGGATTTCATTTGTTTAGTCAGCCTAACGGTCTTCCTTTTAGTTGGAATATTTATTTCATTTATGTTTATTATCAAATACTGATACGTTTTCTTTCTGTCATCTTATGCTTCTTTCTCATTTTTTTTCTTTCTCTAAGATTAATTGACAGCCACTGAATTTGTTTCTCTTGTTGGGAAAGCGATCATCAGCCTAATCATCATTTCTTTGAAAGTAACCTAAAATCTTCTCTTTGTCTTTGTTCTTATATAGCTTTTTTAAAAAAAATCCTTATCCCAGGATATGTTTATTGGAAAGAGAGAGAGAGAGAGAGAGAGAGAGAGAGAGAGAGAGAGAGAGAAACAGAGAGATCAATGTGAGAGAGAAACATCAATCAGTTGCCTCCCAAATCAAACCCTTTGGTGCACAGGATGACGCTCCAACCAGCTGAGCCACCTGGCCAGGGCTTATAAAGTGTTGATGTCTACCAGTGGAATTGTTTTGGTTACCCTGCTTGTGATACCTTGGGATTTCTAATCTGACAAGTAAAATTTTTAATAAATTCTGGGAAATTCTTAGCCAGCATTTCTCCAAATATTGCCACTGCAAACTCGGGAAGATTTAATATTTAAACCCCTCAACAAAGGAGTCCCCGTGGCTCTCTCTCTTGCTGCTCCCGCCTGACTCCTGGCTTGCGGGGCTCTCATGCCCTACCCTCGCCCACGAGGCCCACAGTTATGTGGACTCCACACCTGGATGGACTGAATCTAACCTGATGCTACACCGAACCCCACCCCCCCATGGAATGGAAACTCTGGACACTGGTCCTATTTCAGCTCCACTAAAGCCCCAGCTCCACCTTTTTCAGGACTGGGTTAAGGGCATGGGACTTTACCAGCCCGAGGAATCTAAGTCCCATTCCTGAGATTGAGAAAGTCGATAAGTCGAAATTGAAGAAGATGCAAACGCAAGAGAAAAATCCACCACCTTCAAAATACTAAATGATTGAGCAGGAGAAGCAAGCAGGCGAATCCTGATGAGGCACACACTGCCACTATGAATTGTATGTGCCACAAGCATTGCCTTCTTGTTTTACTTCTTTTTGCTGTTTAACTTTGTAAGATGCAAAGAGCTTGGGTCCGTTTAAAGGATTGTGCTGCCCCATTTCACACCAGAGAACTGCTGACAACAAAGGCCGCACCTGCCTCTCTCTCCCATCGGCCTGTCTGGCTGGCGGGGAAGGAAAAGAACTTGTGTGTTGGTGGAGGAAGAAGCTGGGTGGGACAACAGTGAAATCTGGAGTGAAAACCGACCTGGTCCAAGGTGTCCTGCAGGCTGAAAAATGCAGTTTAATCAGAGTGCCTTTTTTTGTTGTCTCAAATGCTTTTAATTATTAGAATGCCCTTGTTTTTAATATGCTAATAAAAAGTTTTAAAACTTTGGGGGGAAAAGGTGTGTTAACCTAGATACACAGAAATAATGGATAGGGCTTTCTTAAGGCAAAAGTAAGCTTTTCACTAAAGTTATATTCCTGGGATGTGACTACCCACCGTGACCTGCCCAGTTAGGAATTTATGATCATCTCACCCTGTGAGATTACTTTCCATAGAGCCCCTTTTTTCCTGTCCACAGTGGTGTTGAACCATGACAGAGAAAAGAGCTACGTGTTTTATAAATGCCCAAGAGAATACAGAATGAACATTCTCTGTAGTTTTGTTTTTCTACTATACCACAAATAGTACTATTTATTCTTTCTCCTCTCTTAAAATCTCAATTTTCTCTTCCTATTGTATAACCCAACTCTGTAATTTTAATCCAGCCAGGAGAACTGACTCAGTCTTCTGGGTCAGCTACTTCACCTCCAAGTCCCTTTTCTACTCTATAAAATAAGCCCACTGCCTATTTCTCAGGCTTGATGGGGATGAGCCACTTGTAAAGGTGGCTGACATTTCATGGGTACTTGGTAAACCCTTATTTCTTTTTTAATCTTCCTTTCTCATCCATACTCTTGTCAACACTTGTTTTCAGTACTTCTCAGTAAATTTGCTATAAGAGTCTTTTGCAACACCATGGAGAAACCTAGTGGAAGTCAATGAACTAGACAAACTAGGAGCATTCAAAAACTCGACTTTTACTTTATTATTTTTTGTTGTCAATATTGCAGATGTTCCCCTTTTCCCCCCTTCTGTCTCCCTCCACCCAATCCCTGCCCCGCCCCAGGCCTTCCCCACACTATTGCCTGTGTCCATGGGTTATGCATATATGGTCTTAGAAAACGTAACTTCTAAAAAAGAGACTTTCTGAAGTGATTTTGAAAGGCTGAATTTGGTGCTCAGGGCTAAGGAGGTAAAGCCAAGCCCCGTGCATTTTCCCCTTAGAGACATTTTTCATTGTATCGCATGTCGGCAGCCCCAGTAAATGTCCAATTGCACATGTAACGATGTGCAGCATCGCCAGGTACAGTCCAACCAAGGCGTGCAGAGGCTTATCACATTCATATGCAAATACATATATACTCCATATCCATGCTTATCCCTTGACCCGATGTAGACCTAATTTTGCAGTGTAAGTTGGTGAGTTTTCTTGAACTCATTGGCCTGCCACTAAAATGGACAAAATGTAAGGGTAAGGGTAAAACTGTAAGACTCGTGTAGTTTGGGTTTGACCGAAGCTGAAATCTAAGTTTAGAAATAAAAGTAGACCCTAAAGTCACTCATAGTCTTTAGTAAAATTTTGTGTTTTGTTTTGAGGGTCATGAGACCTCAGTGGTATCGATTTTGACACTGACTCACAGTGGGGTCTCAATTGCTTTTCCCTGCTCAGTATCATGAATGGTACTTCCTACATACTTCCTTGCCTTGTGCAGCTGTTGAGATTTCATAGGGTCTGAGAACATCGAAGTAAGACAAGCTCTGAAGGAAAACAAAGAACAGTTACTTAAAGTGTATGCTTTTGGTTTGTGGTCTGTCCCCAGGCCTACCATTGACCTTGCCTTGCTGGACATGCCCTTCCTTCAACTCGCTGGGGAGATGCCCTCTGACCTCCGAGAGCAGCTGGACCACGCACTCTGAAGACACCAGTAGTCCTAGTTGCTGCCCCTCATACACAGACCTGCAGCTCATCAATGCGGAGGAGCAGATGAGTGGCAGGGCATCTAGGGCCGACTCTACAGGTAAGGCGGAGCACCAAGCCACAGGGCTTTGTAAATCACTCTCAGTGACCTGTAGCCCCTCTTCAAATCTCTGTAGCCAGCTTTGATTGCAGAATGAGGTCAGGCTTAACCATCCAGTCAAAAAGCTAGACTCCTGAGTGATTCAAAATTACATTAGAAGAAAAGAAAACATACACAGATTGGCTGATTGGTTAGAAGATGATAAATATTGGGAAACCATGACAGTGTCTTCTTTGTTATTATTCTTTATTGTTTGAAGTATTACATGTGTCTCCTTTTCCCCCCAAGGACCTCTACTGGGTTGCTCCCACTCTCCAGCACATGCCCTCACTCTCCTACTGTCTGTGACCATTGGTTATGCTTATATACATGCATACAAGTCCTTTGGTTGATCTCTTACCCCCAACCCCCAGCCTTCCCTCTGAGGTTTAATGGTCTGTTTGATGCTTCTCTGTCTCTGAATCTATTTTTGTTCATCAGTTTATGTTGTTCATTATATTCCACATGAGTGTGAATATAATGTGATATTTATCTTTCTCCGACTGGCTTATTTCGCTTAGCATAATGCTGTCCAGGTCCATTCATGCTGTTGTGAATGGTAAGAGTTCTTTCTTTTTTACAGCAGCATAGTATTCCATTGTATAGATGTACCACAGTTTTTTTAATCCACTCGTCTGCTGTTGGGCACTTAGGCTGTTTCCAAATCTTAGCTATGGTAAATTGTGCTGCTATGAACATAGGGGTGCGTATATCCTTTCTGATTGGTGTTTCTGATTTCTTGGGATATAGTCCTAGAAGCAGGATCACTGGGTCAAATGGGAGTTTCATTTTTAATTTTTTGAGGAAACGCCATACTGTCTTCCGCAGTGGCTATACCAGTCTGCATTCCCAGCAGCAGTGCATGAGGGTTCCTTTTTCTCCACATCCTCGCCAGCCCTTGTTGTTTGTTGATTTGTTGATGATAGCCATCTTTTGAGACAGCATGAATGGACCTGGAGATTATCATGCCAAGTGAAATAAGCCAGTCAATTCAATGAGTTTGGCATTACTCTGGTACGAAACCAAAGAAACAAGGTCCCGCTTCCTCTTAGCTCCAGCACCAGGGTGAGGCTTTGGGGGATACAGACACATACTAGCAGGAACTGGATTATCTGGTTCGGGGCAGGAACTCGGGGGTGGCTTTCTCCCAGATGGAGAGATGCTCGCAGGGATCATAGTTCCTATGCTGGGACCTCCCCGGTCTCAGGGCTGACTCAACAGTATGTCTTAATGTGTTATTTTCCTGATGGTTTGGTACAAGTACTGTTCTCTGTCAATTTTGCTTCTCCTGGGATAACAACTATTGATAATATTCACAAAATTGAATCTTGCATCCTACCACCCGCACATCCTCCCTCTTCAGCAAAAGGGAGGTAGATTTAAGCAGAGAAAAAGTAAATGTTATATGAAGTGGAATGAGAATCAGGACTCAGCCATTGTGTCTAGACTACAAATCATTTTGCAGTTATGTTTACTCTGTTGGGCCTGAGTTGAACTATGTACATCAGCATGCAGCATCCCGGGGTCTCATTGATTAAATTTCCAGTAGGTGTAGGATGGAATGCCGGCTGGCTCCGTGGGTGGAATATGGCCTGTCAGCAAGCACCATACTACATGTTAGGGTTAGGATGGCATTGGAAACGTGGTGTGTTCTTGGTGTTTTGGCTGTTGGGCCCAAGAGATTGTTTTCCTTTGAAAGGGGTGGAGTTACTGGTAGTTTCTCTGTGGATGAAATTACCCAGTATGTCCAATAATGTTTTTCTTTCTCAAATGTTGTTTAGGAATTTGTCTCTGAATCATTTTTCAAACTTGGGTAACATTTGCCCTCATGCTGTGTACTATTGGGGGTTCTACAAAGAGAAAGGGTTCAAACATGCCCAGCTAGTGTGGCTCAGTGTGCCGGGAGCCGGTCCATCCTTGCTGTTTCAAGGGACCTGGCATATATGGCACATGCCAGGGTTGTGGGCTTGATCCCCAGTGTGGAGTGTGCAGGAGGCAGCTGATCAATGATTTTTCTCTCATTAATGTTTCTATCTCTCTATCCCTTCCTTGCTGAAATCAATCAATAAGTATATATATATATATATATATATATACACACACACACACACACACACACACACATGCTAGAGGCCCGATGCACAAAGATTCGTGCAGGAATGGGCCTTCCTTCCCCTGGCTGCCGGCACCGCCTTCACTCTGGCCGGAGCCGCCTTTCCGCCTTCCCACGCTCCCCAGAGGCCTGGATCAGCTGGGGCAGTGTGGAATGCCTGCGTCGTCACCATAGTGATGATGCAAGCGTCCCGCTCCACCCCCGGCCGCTTGGCACCTGTGTATGCAAATTAACCTGCCATCTTTGTTGAGTTAATTTGCATACTCACTCCTGATTGGCTGGTGGGCATCGCAAAGGTACGGTCAATTTGCACCTTTCTCTTTTATTAGTGTAGATATCCTATATAATGGCTGTAATATGCAAATTGACTGTCACACCCTCACAAGATGGCTGCCTATGACCAGGCCAGCAGGGGGGGTTAGTGAATTTAGTTTGGTATTTGATAATATTGTAAAGAATTCTAGTTTAACACACTCTCTCTCTTTTCATAAGCTACAGTTCTTTCTAGCATTTTGTTTTCACAGACACTCCCTCAGTTCTGCTTGATCCCCGTGGTTGATGATCAGGTCAGTGGCTGATGATCCGATCAGTGGCTGAAATATGCCCCCACGCCCCCATCTCCCCCGTGGGGAGCATTTCCTGGTGGCAGGGCACTGTCAGGAGCTGAGGCTGTGCTTCTCCTCCTCGCTTCTTCGTGCTCCCGACCTCCTTGCCAAGCCTTCCCGCAGAGGACGCAGATGATGTATTGGTTCAGGGTACACAGACTCTGGAGTGATCCACAAGGATGCAGTTTCTTCCCTTGCCTGCCCCAGGGATCTCATTAGGCGAGAGAGGTGGAAAACAGGCTCCTCGCTGCAGGAAAAGTCAGCATGTTTCTATTCAGGCTCTTTTTTCAGTGGCCTCTCTACTTGGGTGAAAATTGCTTTAATACCCGAGGTTCCAGTGATGAAATCAGAGCCCTAGCCTGAACTGGACATTACTACTCTGTCTCCCAAGCTTTAATGGTCTCCAGTTATTTTTAGTATCTTTTCTAACTGTTACAATGGGCACTGAGAAAGCCTCCGCCCTGTTGTTTCAGTCAGGGTCCTGGCAGGAAGCAGATGGAGTCCTTGGAGGGGTTTATCTGAAAAGAGTGTAATGAGAGGACTGCTTACAGAGGCAGCAAGAGTTAGAATCATGGAAGAGGGGCTGCCCCACAGGGTCCAGAAACCCAAACACACATCGACCAGCAAAGTTGACTTGGATATGCAGGCTGTTGCTAAAGTGTTGGGAAAACAGAAAAAAATATTTTGGCAAACTTCCCTGGATTTACAAAGCCAGGCTTACTTTGTCTCAGGCTCTGTTATACCTCTGGCTATAGAAGGGACAGAGCTATTACCAGGGACTTGGCGAGGTGGGGAGAGTGGGGGATAAATACCCAGATTTGTGCTGGTGCTTCCCATCAGCAGATCCAGCTGGAAGCCAAAGGGCCAGGAGACCTGGTGAGGCAGCCCACAGAGATCAGCCACCAGGCCACAGAGCAGGTGACAACAAGTTCCAGTGGGTTTGGGGTCACGGGTGGTGGCGAGCAAATAGAGAATCGGCAACACTTCTCTAATCCAACAGGAACTAAATGGCCCATAGGCTGGGGTCACTCCACAGCCACAGATGCAAAACCAGGACTAAAGAGTGATGAGTGATGCTCTCAGTTCTCTCCCGTGGCTACAGGGAGGCTGGAGGTATGGTCTTGGGGCAACCACCCTCTCCTCAGTAGAATAGTCACAGCCAGGACTCACTGTGTACTGTGTGCCAGGTGTGTGCTATCTCTGGCCTTTACAACAATCCTGCAAGGCAGGTATCATCCTCCCCATTTCCTGGTTGATGCTGAGTTTTCGGAAGGTTAAGAAACTGGTCTAAGAGAATGGGACAAAGAAACGGACAACCCAGTGTCGGCCTGCGGACTGAAAGGTCCCAGGTTCGATTCCGGTCAAGGGCATGTACCTGGGTTGCGGGCACATCCCCAGTGGGAGATGCGCAGGAGGCAGCTGATCGATGTTTCTAACTCTCTATCCCTCTCCCTTCCTCTCTGTAAAAAATCAATAAAAAATATATTTAAAAAAAAAAAAAGAAAGAAACTGGTCTAAGAGAATGCGACTAAGAAACAGACAACCCTGGCTTTCAATCCAAGTTCCAAAGCCTTTTCCAGTGGTTCCCAAATCTGGTGGTGCCCCCAGAATTATCATGGTTATCAGTTTGCTGTGTTACCTTTCAGACCTTCTTTAGAGATAGGTATTATAGAGGATGTGTGTGTGTGTGTGTGTGTGTGTGTGTGTGTGTGTATATCTATCTATCTATATCTATATCTATATCTAGATCTAGATCTAGATCTAGATCTATATATATATATATATATATATATATAGAGAGAGAGAGAGAGAGAGAGAGAGAGAGAGAGAGAGAGTTGTTGTTGCCGTAGGGTTATTTTTAACCTAAATAGGATCAAAGGGATTTTAAATACTGGTATATGAGTAGCAGGAAAGCTTGAAGAATAAACTGATGTTTCCTTATCAGATATGAGTGTTTGCAGATAACTGCTGTGTGTCCACAGTACTGTGTTATGTAAACAAGTTTCTAGGCACTGCATTGTGGAATGAAATACCCAATTCTTTAGTAAGGCAAGGGTCCAGGTGGACCCAGGTACTAGGGAGCGCCCCCATCTGCTTATGATGGAACATCATCCTTTGTATCTCACCTCCACCTGTTCCTCCAGGCCCAGAGGTGGCCAGCGGTGTCTCCAGGGCCCTGGGAAAGGGAGAAGCCCTGAGGTGGGTGACCGGGAGAGCCCTCCCCCAGGCGGAGTGGACAGTCT